AAATGTCCCCAAAGGTCCCCAAATGTCCCCAAATGTCCCCAAATGTCCCCAAAGGTCCCCACCTGGCCCTGGTCCAGCTGCCCCGGGGGGCCCAGCTGGCCCTGAGGGGACCCAGCTGTCCCCGAGTGTCCCCAAAGGGTCCCCAGCTGTCCCCAAAGGGTCCCCAGCTGTCCCCGAATGTCCCCAAAGGGCTCCCAGCTGTCCCCAAAGGGTCCCCAGCTGTCACCGGAGTGCTCCAAGTGTCCCCCACCTGTCCCCGGGCTGGCCCAGCTGTCCCCAAAGGGTGCCCCAAGGGTCCCCCAGGAGTCCCCAGCTGTCCCCAGGGTGCCTCAGGGTCCCCAAGGGTCCCCACCTGTCCCCAAGGGTCCCCAGCTGTCCCCAGGGTGTCGCAGTATGGCCCAGCTGTCCCCAGGGTCCCCCAACTGTCCCCAAGGGTCCCCACCTGTCCCCAGGGTGCCTCAGGGTCCCCACGGCTGCCCCAGCTGTCCCCAAGGGTGGCCCTGCTGTCCCCAGGGTGCCCCAGGGTCCACAAGGGTGCCCCAGGGTCCCCACCTGTCCCCAGAGGGTGTCCCAAGGGTCCCCAGCTGTCCCCAAGGGTCCCCCAGCTGTCCCCAAGGGTCCCCCAGCTGTCCCCAGGGTGCCTCAGGGTCCCCAAGGGTCCCCAGCTGTCCCCAGGGTGTCTCACCCGTGCCGGAGCTGGCGCTGGCCTCTGTCCCGTGTCCCTCTGTCCCGTGTCCCTCTGTCCCGTGTCCCGCTGTCCCCGTGTCCCTCTGTCCCCGTGTCCCGCTGTCCCCGTGTCCCGCTGTCCCGTGGTCTCCGAGTCCCGCTGGCCCCTGTCGCGGTGTCCCCGTGTCCGTCTGTCCCCTGTCCCCTGTCGCGGTGTCGTGACTCAGAGTTTCCCGTGGCCGCGGCGCCACCGCCCCGCCGAGCTCCTGTCACCTGCGAGGGGACAGCGACAGCGACAGCGCGGGGACAGCGCGGGGACAGCGAGGGGACAGCGAGGGGACACGGGGGGGACACGGGGGGGGACACGGGGGGGACACGGGGGGGACACGGGGGGACACGGGGGGACACGGGGGGA